TCAACAATTAGCTAATTTCAGTCTGTAACCAGATTGCAGATTTTCTGAAAATTTAATAATCTGTTTTTGTTCAATATTCAGACTGGCTCCAACACACCACTGATTGGAGACCTTGACAAAAATAGTGTCAGTGAAGTAGTGGGGTTAGAAGACAAGCTGAAGGATATCCAGTAGATAAATGTTCTATGGATGTTAAAGTGATTATTTTGAAGAGAGTGGTAAGAAAGGACGTATTTAATATAGCATGAAAAAGTTATGCTTTAGGCTTGGGGTGATGGGCAATTTCTCTTCCTATAACATAATATTTTTAAAAGGCTACAGTTTATTTTTTACTATATGGAGAACATAATCATTTAATAACCACTTGTATTTATATGTACCTGCTAAGAATGAAACATAGTTCCTTGTCTTAACCTTTTTAATCTAAGTCAGAATTCATACAGAATCAATTTATAGAGGAAGTAACTTTACAGAGGAAACAAAGTATAAATTTTGAGCTGATAGATAAAATTTTATAGCCAAAGAGTTTTGTGATCATTACAGAATATACACAATATCTAATGATATTTTACACAAAAGCCCTGATTGGTATAACTGAGAAAATTAGTTGAAAATTTTGATGTGAAAAAAAATGTAATCGGGTTTATATATAGACATAGAAATATTAGAAAATGTTATGCTTCTGTTTTAATGTGAATTCATGTACTAATCAGTTAATGCCATCTTTTTGTAACAAGTATCTTTAATGATTTGTTTTTATTTTGCTTTATTTGTTGAAGGATTACTCAGCAATAATTTTAACCATTCTTCTAGAATTAATGTCTGCATTAGTAGGTAACCTGTTGTACTGTGGTACTATGACTTTTTAAAAATAGTATCTAGCCTATAAATGGCCATTCCTTTGGTTTTACGAAAGAGCTTTTGTGATTTCTGCATCGCACCAGAAATGAACAAATGTAGGTGATAAAATTGTAGTTAACATGTTGATTACATTCTGTTTTGTTCCTGTGGGCAGGCAGGTTGGCATAATGAGAAAATCGTGGGCTTTTGCTTCAGTTAGATTTGAGTTAAGCTCTGGCTTCAACATTTTCTAGCTGTTAGCCTTGCTTTTTGTTAATTCACTTGTAAAATGGGGATAATAATATTGCCCTTCAGCGTGGTTGGGAGAATTATATCAAGTAATGTAGTCAAAAGACCTTAAAGGAGAGTCAGGTACATAGTAAAGTCTTTAATTAAGTCATTTCTTCAGGTAGGTGTCTCAGAGTAAAATGAAGAGTCATCTTGGGAAACAAAATGTACCTGTTTTTTTACTATAAAAAGCAGGTACAACTGTGACTGGAGAATGAATACTCTGCAAAGAAGTATTAATATTTTAAGATACCTGATTAATTAAGCATATTCTTATGTACAGACCCAAATAATTTGTGACAATTAGTAAATTCGTTCTTAATGATCCTTGCATTTCAAATCATGGGGCTGTAAAAACATTGTAATCAATTATCTTGTAAAGATGCATTTTGAAACTCATGATCTGGTCTAATAGGAACATTTTATTACAAGGCAAATGAAACTCATGTAGTAGTCTTTGATTAATTTTATCATATGGACTTGTATCACTTTAATTTTTTAGATGTTTTCACAGTTTTATTTATTCTGTGATGAATTTTTCTGTCATTTTTTTACTAATTTTTTTTCTCCTATTTAATATTAAATGTTACCAATTTCCATTTATGCTTTTGTTTTGTTTCATCTTTCCCCTTCAGGTCATTTAAAAAAAAAAAAATAGTGATGCATTTTATTCTCCTTCCTATACAGAAGAGTGTCTCAGTATATTCCTATTAGAGTAGACCTGGCCCCTGGTGCCAATTAGTATTTTGGTGGTTTGGAATGATCATACCTCCTCACGAAAGGTGGCAGAGAGCCACTAGATTCAGAATTGAATGATGCAGAATTGAGGAATGATGCAGATTCAGAATTGAATGATGCAGAATTGAGGAGCTTTCTATTTGACGTTTGGGCTATTTCTTAATTTATTTAAAATCACTGTTCCAGAATTTAGTGTTTGAGCATATTCTTTTATTTATTTAATAGATTAGTTCAGTTTCAAAATATTTACTTTATATCTGACATCATTACTTAACTACCTAAGATAAAAGGTATTAGGTTTAAGGAAATCCAAGAATGATGAAACCTTTAAGGACCTTCCTTGGCTTACTGTTATTTTATTTTGGAATGAAATGGTTGTATATTAAAACTATGTTCTTTTTTTTTTTTTTTTTTTTTTTTTTTTGGG